AAATATATTTTGTGTTAACTATTATAATATATTATCAAATATTCAAACAAACGTAACCCAAAAATTAAAATTCGCGCTTATTGTTAACGCCAAATGTAACAGGCGTTTCTTTCGGTTTGAAATGACGAGGAACACTGGACACGAATATTGTCACGCCGTGTCCCTTGCTGCACTGCTGAAGAGTGAAATATTTTTCTGAAGTTTTCGAGGAAAGCAAAGAAGACACTGTTTACATTTCATCGTGAACCAGGTGAGTACGTTACTTATTTGACCTAAGTTAGACGTAATCGTTTTTATTTTTTAAGATCTGTATCTGTTTGCTGGCGGACAACGTTCGAGCTCTGCCTTGGAGACTTTGTTTGGTAATCATCCGCCCAGCAAAAAGGCAAATGAAGTAAAAATATTCAACTTAAGCTTATACTTGTAAAGCACTCAATGTAATGATTTGTCGCAAAAGGTTTTGCGTAAATTGAGTTGATTTCTCGATAGAAAATTCTGACAGAAACGATTAGAATCATTACAGCAATAACACTTTGTCGATGATGTTTCAAAAATGGATCAGTTGTTTCTACTTGTGCCAGGTGATTGCGAGTTTAAAGAGCAAGGTTGATTATCATTCGGTGTTTTTATGATTAGTAACGTTTCCCTTCTAGAACGTTTCACCGTAGGACTCAGCCGTTCGTTACAGGGTTCCACATTGGATGTTATTGAGGCAACAAGCATGTTAACGTTGTGAAGGAACAGATGAAAGGTATACGCAAGAATGCTAAAACAGCATTTGCAAATCTTGTGTATGAAAAGATCAAGAAGATGGCTAAGAAGGCAAACATCAAGGTAAGCATCCCTCGAACTTGTGGTAGGCAGACATTAAGAAACAACACCAATGCCAGGACACCAGTCGCCTACTTNTGAATGTTATTGAGGCAACAAGCATGTTAACGTTGCGAAGGAACAGCTGAAAGGTATGCGCAAGAATGCTTAAACAGCATTAGCAAGTTCTGTGTATGAAAAGATCAAGAAGATGACTAAGAAGGCAAAGGTGAAGATAAGCATCCCTCGAACTTGTGGTAGGCAGACATTAAGAAACAACACCAATGCCAGGACACCAGTCGCCTACTTTCGACGGGCAATATTTCTTCCTTTCCTTGACAACTTGTTGGAGCAAATAAATACCCGCTTTGATGGACGATCAGAAGCGGCATTGCTTGGACTGCTACTGATACCTGCCAACTTACAGCAGCTTAACGGGTCTTCTCAAGAGAAACTTATTCAGCGTTATTCCCCTGATCTGTCGTCCCCAAGCAGTGCGTCGCAGGCCTGGAGGTGTGGAAGTGCTTCTGGTATGTTATTTTGCGTTAATACTATACATGGGTTACCAAGTTTATAGTGAAACTGAGATAAGCTAAAAAAAACCGATTATATCTTGTCTTGAAATATGTGTTAATTCTTGCTTTTATTTTTAGGAACAACGCTACCGTAAAATTCACGACACTGCAAGAGACATTGAAAGCCTGCAGCTCAAGCCTCTACCCCAATGTCCACGCAATTCTGCGCCTCCTGTTAATCACCCCGGTCACAAGTGCAACTGTTGAACGTAGCAACTCTTCACTGCGCTTTGTGAAGAATGTCTAAATGCACTGTTGCTGCTCTTTATTCACAAAGACAGACCTTTAAACTATAATGCAGTTGTTGACGAGTACGCCAAACGAAACCAGAGAAGGATGACCTCAATCCACTGCAGTGATTTATTTCGATTAATACTGGATGTATAAATGCAATGCAATGACTCTGTTAACAGTTCGCCTACCACTAACACTACGATTTTGNTATTATCAAATATTCAAACAAACATAACCCTAAAATTAAAATTCGCGCTAATTGTTAACGCCAAATGTAACAGGCCTTTCTTTCGGTTTGAAATGACGAGGAACACTGGACACGAATATTGTCACGCCGTGTCCCTTGCTGCACTGCTGAAGAGTGAAATATTTTTCTGAGGTTTTCGAGGAAAGCAAAGAAGACACTTTTTACATTTCATCGTGAACCAGGTGAATACGTTACTTATTTGGCCTAAGTCAAACGTAATCGTTTGTTTTTTTAGATCTGTATGTCTGTTGGTGGGCAACGTTCGAGCTCTGCCTTGGAGACTTTGTTTGGTGATCATCCGCCCCAGCGAAAAGGCAAATGACGTAAAAATATTAAACTTTAGCTTATATTAAAGCACTCAATGTAATGATCTGTCGCAAAAGGCTTTGCGTAAATTGATTTATAATCCTGAGTTGATTTCTCGATAGAAATTCTGACAGAAACGATTAGGATCATTACAGCAACAACAGTTTGCTGATGATGTTTCAAGAATGGATCAGTTGTTTCTACTTGTGCCAGGGGAAAGCGAGTTTTAAAGAGCAAGCTTGATTATCATTCGTTGTTTTTATGATAAGTAACGTTTTCCCTCTAGAACGTTTCACCGTAGGATTCAGCCGTTCGTTACAGGGTTCCACACTGGATGTTATTGAGGCAACAAGCATGTTAACGTTGTGAAGGAACAGCTGAAAGGTATGCGCAAGAATGCTAAAACAGCATTTGCAAGTTCTGTGTATGAAAAGATCAAGAAGATGGCTCAGAAGGCAAACGTCAAGGTAAGCATCCCTCGAACTTGTGGTGGGCAGATATTAAAAAAAACACCAATGCCAGGACACCAGTTGCTTACTTTCGACGGGCAATATTTCTTCCCTTCCTTAACAACTTGTTGGAGCAAATAAAAACCCGCTTTAATGGACTATCAGAAGCGGCATTGCTTGGACTGCTACTGATACCTGCCAACTTACAGCAGCTTAGTGAGTCTTCTCAAGAGAAACTTATTCAGCATTATTCCCCTGATCTGCCGTCCCCAAGCAGTGCGTCGCAGGAGCTGGAGCTGTGAAAGTGCTTCTGGTATGTTATT